GAGAGAGAGAGAGAGAGAGCGAGAGAGAGCGAGAGAGAGAGAGAAAGAGAGAGAGAGAGAGAGAGAGATTAAGATAAAGACAGTTTACTGATTCAGTCAATCAAATCCACAGTATATTTAAGGCCCAATTATATCTAGACCGCTTACTCAAAACTGTCAACATTTAAGCAGTGTATCTCAAAAATCTACCACTCTGATGTCTGATAAGCTGTTCAGGTGTATTTGTCACATCCTGGTGTGGATTCCTATAACTGTAGCTGCTAACCTGGAACTTGTCTAACAGGTTAAAGGTCAGTTCCATAGATCTGATAATAATGAAATAAACAGGGCTAACACCCCAAACAACCCTGCGGTGACTTATCCAACACACGCAAACAAACATGTACAACCAAGGGAGTAACCATGACTTGAACACTGGTGCATTAAATATTAAATGAATTAAATATTTTAAAGGGATTTAAGAAAATAACAAGAATTTATTGTAAAGTAATCCATTTGAACTATCTGCAAATAATATTGTGGTTTAAAATATGCACAGATTCACTTTTCATCATGAGACTGAATTATATGCTAAAAACATATTTGTTAATGTTCCTTGTTTTGTCATATTTAATTATGAAGTCCATGAATCACATAAATGACTGTCTTTATTTTCAATTTAAAACTGAAATTTGACAAAAAAGTTACTTTGCATCACTAGATATTACTGTTGGTCTTTTAACATTTCTTTCACAAAACTATTGCGACTATCATTACCACGTCTGTTGTGGTTATGGCTATGTGTACTATAAACTGGTTAAAGCAGAGTTATGAATTAATTGAAAAATATCAACTATTATATCATTTATTTAAATTCAACATATCATTTAGATACGTTAACTGACATAACCGTAACAAGCCAAAGTTTGCGTATCTGCTTTGCGAGGGAACAGTTGGTTCATCTTGGTCAAAACGATCATGGACGAGTTTATTTTTGTTTCTTTCATCGGAGGTCAAATCTTAGATTGAAAGAACTAGTGCTGTTGACAGCAGTTAAATAATAAAGTGAAAGAGATAAACCACCAAGCCTAACCGACAAGAAGTGAGTCAAGATGACAACACACAGTACTAGTTTCTTCAAAGCTCTTTCATTTACCTCAGGCAAACAAAGTAAAAATAAAGTACTATATTAGTCACAGCACCTCAAAAGGTACATTTTCAATCTTGCATCCAGACGTACACTAAAATCACATTGGATATTAGCATTTTTGCTAATATAGGAAGACAAAAAGCAGGCAAAAGCACGGACATCGATCTCAACTGGATGCTCGACTAAGAAACAAGTGTAACAATTTTTTTAATGTAAAGTCGGCAACACCAAAGCTCCAAAAGTATCAAAAATGTATTTTAAAAAAAGCTTTGGTGTTACCGACTTTACATTTAAAAAATTGCTAATATAGGAAGCTAATATTGCACACTACGTCAAGTAATCTATCATGTATGTGTTTTGTTGACAGAAGAAGATTGAAGGATAAAGAGAGGTCTGTGGTTTTTAATGATACCCGCTGAAGATTATGATCAGCTCAGATGTGCAAGCAGGTAAAGCTGGCTTTAGGCAAACACATGGAGGGGGTTGGTATGACACTAGAGGGAGGATGTTCCAGTACGGCACAGTAGAAAAAAAAAAAAGTACAGCGAGAATGAAGACAGAAATTCCTCTGGTGTCACAATGCCTTTGGCCCTCCCCCTTCCTACGAAAACATCGCTCCTATTTCCCTGAATCCTGTCTGACTCACCAAGCATCACACACTTGCTGGAGTGTGTATCTGCTAATACACGTTACCACACACATCAAATTTGATGGGTTTTTACTTTGTCCTCAGATCAATTGTATCACTACAAATCTAACTTAGGAATGGCAACATCCTCTTTAGGCAAGCCCTAAAACAGGAAATTGTATAAGAAAGGACATCGCATTACATTGAGAAGAGAAATTCTAGCGTAATAGTGCCTTTCTCATTTTACAATTCCAGTGAACCTGCAATAACTGACCAATAAACAACCAATAAAAGTTTAAAGATAAGCTGTATGTGCTTGGAAGAGCATAAAGGGAGAAAAGGAGGGAGTAGAGAAACACAGAAAGGGAAAGGAGGAGCCGGAAATGATTGATCAAAGGGAGCGATGAAGGGAAGACATGGATCAGAGAGGGAAAATCCCTTTCCTCTCCCCTGCAGTGTCCTCAGATTCACATTCCTGTGTGTAAACACAGGAAAAAAAATAATGAATAAAAGGGGAATGTTGGATGAATAAGGAAAGTGACTGAGGGGAAGACTCATGACACAGATGCATGAGCCAAAAACACACTGTAGTGAACTGAAACTAAAGCCTGCATGATTTGGCACAGATGACTGGGCTGAAGCAAAAACTCAAGGACGAGAAAAGACAGGAAAAATAAAAAGTGCACTCAATGCATGCAAAAAAAACATGAATGAGTAGTTGTTTTATACATTTATCTCACACTTATGTCACACAATGCATGTGAAGAAGATTTAAAGAGGACATTTAATGCAAAATAAAGTGTATTTTGTACTATTTATTTATTTATTTAGTCATTTAGCAGACGCTTTTATCCAAAGCGATATACATTATACTATCATTCATAGTTGAATCCTGGATTCATACTATCTATGAAGAATTGCTTGGGTCATGAAAAGTGGGTCTTGCATGCCAGAATGGAACCAGATCTAAATAAGTTTTGCTGAATCCAGTTTAAACCAGCATAAGATGGGTTGCTGGTCTAATCTGGTTTAAGCCTGGCCTGAACAAGCTAGTGCTCAACTGGTTTTAGGTTTATCAGCCACCTGGTCCCAGTCTGACCATCTGAAAAATAACTAAAACCCCTCTAAAACTAGCCAATGGATTAGACTGAGAGCCAAGCCAAGACCAGACAATCAGTTTAGGCTGGTTTTAGTTGTTTAACAAGTTAGTTATTGGTTAACATTAACCAATAGCCAGATCTAAAATGCGAGTTTCATAAAATAATCCTAAATACCTGAAAGATCCAGCTTAAACCAGCCTAAGAAGGCTTTCTGGTCTTAGCCAGTTTAAACTGTTCTCCTAGACTTGCCAAGCTGGTCTTCAACTGGTTTTAAGCTGGTCAGCTGTCTAGTTCCTGCAGCCTGACCATCTGACGAGTGCCCAAAACCCCTCTAAAACTGGCCAATGTATCATTCTGACCAAGCTGGGAGACCAGCTAAGACCAGCAAGCCAATTTATGCTGGTTTTAGTTGTTTTTCTCTAACAAGATAGCTATTTGGCTATTGATTAACATTCACATTAAGTGACATAAGCAAGTTGATAAGAGCATGTTTTTGTATAGGCTTATTAATGAAAAATTACAAATAGCTTTTTTTCTTTGGCGTAACATGCACCAGCAAATCACAATAAAACCAGGAACATGCGTGCAAGGAAGTAAATAGGCACAATTTGGATTTTATATTCACTTGAAATGAATGCTAATGCCTAGCTATGCATATTCAGGCCATTGTATAGTCATTCTGTGAAGATCTATGGGCCTCTAACCTGTAGTAAAAGCATTTTTTATAATTCAGGATAAAAAAGATAAGCATGTTAATAGGCTGCAGAAGAGTGAGAAAGAGCAAGCGAGCGCAAGGGAAAGTCCCTTTTAATACCCTGCAAACCTCAACACAAGGTATGTTGAGAAACAACCCAGGGTGTGAGGGGGGGTCATGTGACTTCTCGGAATGAGGATACTTAAGTTGAGACGCATGCAGCAGCCGCTTTAACTGTGTTTGCACATACACTCATACTAGTATAAAAACATACACTTCTGTAAACTGAGTTTACTTATAGCCATGCAAACAACTCATCAGCTGTGGTCTTGCTTGACTGATAATAGGCAACACCTATCATAAAAACACTTTTGCCATGCGCACACACACAAACACTGCATGCTTTTTCTCATGTGCATTTCAAATGTCAGTGCCAGTGTTGGTTATGACAGACATGTGGGAGGACAATCATGTTATACAAAAGAAAGGAGTGGAAATGGAGACATTGTGATAAAAGTCATTCTGTCATATACAATTTCTAGTGGTAGTAATAATGATAGCTGTAGTAACACTTTCCTTGGTACCGTACCAGTCAGCTGTGTGTCTACATGCCGTTATAATATTGCATCATTCACTGTATTTACTCGCTAATGTTGACTTTGGAAACACCAAAACAGTAATTTTCAAGCAGTGCTGCAACAAAAGTTACTCAAAACTCCATCTAAGCTTCAAAGACATGCTAATGCACAGTTTACATTTCTGGGGAAATAAGAATTGAACACAGGATATAACACAAAAGTTAACCTCAACAATCTGACAGAAACAAGTTTCAGACCGTGGCTAAGACATGCGCGCAGCTTCTGGTAACTGCTGGCTGCCTGTGAATGTACAAGCGTTCATGTTTGTGTGTGTGAAAGAGAGCGTCTGTACGTCAAGTGAAACCTAAACATGAATTTGAGGTGATTTTTGAGGTCTGACTAGACATGCAATGGCGGTAATTGATAATGCGGTTGGTGGAAGTACGGGTTAACACAACCAGAAAAGGAGAAGAACAGGATGTAAAAGCCTGGGAACAGTCCGACAGGTCTGCACGCTCACTTTTTGTTGCTGACACATGAGAGAAAGATGAGGCGGGGGACACAGGTTGCATGTGTTGTGGTGGCCATGTGGTGAGCACACAAGTGGGCAGGCCAGTACTTCTAAAAGTGCTCAAATAACCACGAGCAGTTCAGTGGCACTGTCTGAGAACAACCGTGCCCTAGGAGTAATTTCCTCTTCTGCTCAAACCTTAGCTAAAGGTATCATGTGAAAGTTAAGAACACATTTGTGGAAATTACAGTTAACCAACATATGCCCCACAGGGAAAAGAATTCAGGTTTAACTAGCCTGGTGTTCTTGGTGCATTAAATCCCCAAATCCTGCAATCACCAACATTAATTCTCTTCTGTCCCGCTACATCCTGCTGCAATGTGACCAATGGCTAAGCAAATAGAGCATTTTGGTTAAATATATATTATTAAGCATTTCAATTATTTAAATTATTAGTAATAATATTAGTATTAATTGTAATAATACTACTAATAATATATTAATTTGACTTATTTAAATCATCCTGCGGCCCCCTTGCATGTTTGCGGAGGCCCCCTAGTGGGTCCCGGCTCCCTGGTTGAGATCAACTGATGAATAAATGCTGCAAAAGTATTGTTCATTGCTAGTTCATGATACCTAACAGAGTTTGCTTGTTTGTGTGTGTGTGTGTGTGTACCTGTCTTAGGTTATTGAAAATGTCCAGGTCTTTGTGTGCCCGTCGATATATTTCAATAAGCCAGCTGACCAATTGGCAGTTCTCTTTGACCACAGCAATGTGAAGAGGCCTGCAAATGCAAACAGACAAATAAACCCATGCATTATTCACCTGAAAACAACAGCATGCACACTGGTGTAAATGCATTAACATTAAACCACACAAACAAAACTAGCAACATTACGGTGATGCATTTTTTAAAATAATACAGGGATGATTGTCTTTTTAATGCCCTGCACAAGTCAACCAAGTTCAAAAGGATGAATGAATAACCCTTCACTTGACAATCATGTGTATGACTCATCTTGTACACAGTGGCTCTAAATGCAAGCAATGCCGGTGAGTACAGGGAAATGCTTATCTCCCTATCGTTTCACAGAAAGCCTCTCTGAGGTGAGAGTGTAGAAGTCAAAGTTTGGGAACAGGAAGAAAACATTGTGTGAGAAAGAGAGCGGGACTCTTCATGAAATGTTTTAAATTATGTTTTTTTTTTTTTTCTAAATCTGCTTCCAGTAACAGCTACTTTGGTTTGAAGTCACTTCCTGCCCTCAGGGACAATGGCACCGTTCTTTCTGTTTTGAATACTAATTATCATTATATTTACAGTTGCATTAGGGGCTTTCTATGCTTTTCAGAACCCTCTAGCAGAACTTCCCATGAAACTCTGGGAAAATTACAAAGAAGAACCTTGCACTGACTTGAAACACAAGCACAATATTTTTGCAACCTATTATAAGAGTCCAACATGCTCTAATTGCTTAGCTATTGATCAGTGTAACACTCAAAACAATATTGAAACAAGGTCAAGGTCATTTGTGAACATGCAGAAGTCAACTTTATAGAAAGTAATATAATTTTAAAACACTTTTTAGCAGGACTAACAATCAATCAAGGAATTCTATCAATGCAGATATCAGTGTAGAATGTTCATATCTTGCATTACAAACCATAAAACAGTTATTGGGAATGTGGCAAGAATGTTAATGGGCCTGATGGGAAGTCATACTGCAACAGCAGGAAAAATGAAAGGCGGATAGAGAAAAAGGGAACAGAGAAGAACAGGGACTCATTGTTTATATTGCATTTTGACTCGTATTGTGTCATTGTGGGATGAAACAAGCCGGAACACAGACAGTGGGAGAGCAAATGATTTGAATTATGGTGCTGATTCATATTCCTAGTGATATAAATGTAAATAATGTCCTAAAAAGGGACATTGCGATTGCTTCATGTGGGTTATTCCATTGTGGCAAGATTTTGCAAATAAAACAGAGAGAACCTGACATGTGAAAAAATACACCATGCCACCTGACTTCCTGAAATACAACTTTCTGTTTGGAACAACGGTCACCAGAAAATCACATTCCTTTATAAAGCATTAAACCAAAAGAGGAAGAGAAGAGCAATTTAGTCAAAATGAATGCAAGCTGGCCTGGCTCAGGGTATGACCTGCCTCAGTGAACTGCCAAATCACAGCTTCTCTGTTCCTTGGTTTTGATAAGAAAGCAGAAGAGTTTATTAGTAGCTTAATTCTTTCTTTGTCTCCTTTCCTGTAAGTGAGCTCAGCGTCACTGTACTTAAGGAAATCGCATGCTTTTTTTTCAGTTCTGCCGTCAGGGCCATGGGTTCAGCCCTTCTGAAAAGACATTGCTGTGTCTTTATCAGGTCTGAGGACTGTATTTTTACACAGAGCATGTGAGATTGACCTGCATTACAGTGCAAAGGCCACATTAAAGACATAGAACATTCTCTCTTTGTGAAAAAAACAACCTAAAATCAGAGCTGCACACAATTAACAAATCTCTGCCTATTGCAGTTTCAGTAAGTGCTGTAATATGTGCAGGGGCCTATACTGCCAAAAATAGATATGATTTCTTGATTTTATTCATTTTTTAATTTTTCAATATTTTAAGCATTTCAGTAAGTATTGTATACGTGCAGGGGCCTTTAGGGTCAATGTGTTTTTTGAACATTAAAACATGTCAACATATTCTGTTACACCAAATACACAAAATAATGATCTTTAAAAAAGCATCATATGACCCCTTTAAAAAAAAGTCAGAAATTGCAATTGCCTTTTCAGTTGAGATCATTGAATAAAGTCGTTATTTTTGTTTTCTTCGCACACAAAAAGTAAAGTATTCTCATAGCTTGTCACATGGACTATTTTCACAATGTCCTTACTACCTTTCTGGGCCATAAAATGTTTCAGTTGCATTGCTGTCTATGCAGGGTCAGAAAGCTCTCGGATTTCATCAAAAATATCTTAATTTGTGTTCCGAAAATGAACAATGGTCTTATGGGTTTAGAACAACATGAGGGCAAGTAATTACTGACAGAATTCTCATTTTGGGGTGAACTATCCCTTTAATTTTGAATAAAACAGCTCTCAGATGAGACAAAATGTAGGACAGTACTTAATTTCATCCATCAGAAGTTGATTGGATCATTGCTGTTTGCTTAATTACTACCATCTCAAGTGATTGACAGGTTGTTGAAAGGGGGGGGGGGTTATTTGATTAAAGCTTATGAGGATAACGTTATAAAAAAAACATTGCACAGATAATTAATTTATAATAAGCACCGTTATACTGCCAAAAACACCCATATAAGAATGCTTTTGATTTCATGATGACTTTAAAAGGGAGTTCACAGTGATGCAGATGATCTACCAATTATTGCTTAATCCTGAACTTTCTTGAACTTGAATTTTGAGAAGAAAAAAAAAAACATTACACAGCAATACAAATTTAAATGAATAGTCCACCCAAAAATGAAAATTTGCTGAAAATGTATTCGCCCTCAGGTACCCTCCCTGGATCGTCTGCAGTGAATGGGTGCCGTCACAATGAGATGGACTGGAGTCGTGTGGATTACTTGTGGATTATTGTGACGCTTTTATCATCTGTTTGGACTCTCATTCTGACGGCACACATTCATTGCAAAGGATCTATTGGTGATAATTTTATACATTTCTCCAAATCTGCTCCGATGAAGAAACAAACTCCTTTACATGCTGGATTGCCTGAGGGTAAGTATATCTTCAGCAATTTTTCATTTTTTGGTGAACTATTCCTTTAACTATATTTTTGATTGTCCCTCCCATATGAAAATGTTTTGAATAAAAAGTACACTAAAAAGTACATTAACAATTATTGTAATGGCCTTGCATCACAACAAGGTCAGGCTTTAATGCTTAATGATATTTTATATCACTTTGTGGCTGACAAAGAAAAGCCAACCTTCGGATAAACAGACCCATTATAAGCACGCCAAAAGAAAATGTATAATTAAATTTAAAAAAAATAGTGTGAACTAACTGGCCATTTATCATATATTCTTATCATATGTCTGTCTGTATGTGATGATCACTGGCTTTGCTGTCACTTACTATACTGCAGGTCAGAATTTAGTTTCTCTCTCTCTCTTTCTTTCTTTTCGATAGATGAAACTCTCTGGGTTCCTGGAAGTGACTGAGAGTTAGTTAGACCGCAGCCCCAGATATGGCTCGGGCTGAGACTGACGTAGGAACCTGAACATCATCAGAAGGAGATGAAGGGCTCATGGCGGGGCAGTGGCGCATGTGTGGCATCCTGTACAGCCCAGAAACACAAACCTCTATCATCCCCTGCAGCACAAAGGCCTGCTTATGCTGCAGCAAACAAACTCAGAGGCTGAGACAAGACATAAACAACCTGAGCCAAACACATGACATGCAACCACACGTATAAAAACAGACTATAAAATCCTTACAAGCAAGGTGTTTGAAGGTAACCATGTGTCAAGGCTCTGTGTTTCTCTGCATAGCCATGACACAGCCATCACATATAACCTAAAAAATTTAACCATTACCAAATTTGGCAGACACTTTTACACAAAGTGACTTACAATGCATTAAATACATACCCAGAGAAACAAATCCATGACTTTGCCATACATGGCATTGCTAACATCATGCACTACTGTTTGAGCAACACTAATGAGTCGTTGTCAATATAATGAAAGTCATTGGGGTCCAAAACAAAAAACACAGAGACATTTTTCAAAATCTCTTCTTTTGTGTTCTACAGAATCAAGAAAGTCATACATGTTTGGAACAATATGAGGGTGAGTAAATGACTGAATTTTTATTTTCAGGTGAACAATACTTGTAAAACATGAATGACCTGTCATGCAGCCTTATGGTGCTTCTTATAAGTATGCAAAGTATGAAAGAGAAGGAAGGAAGAAGGAAGAAAAAGTAGGTATGAAGAGCAGAAATGGCACAAGTAGGAGCTTACAGTACAGAGCGAAAGGGGGAGAGAGAGACTGATAAGCAACAGAGAAAAAGCGGTAAAGGAGGAAGTGAAGAGCGGATGTTTGGGTTTTTGAGCCCATTCATTTTAAACACACAAAGCAGTGAAAAGAGATGAAAGAGAGAGAGAAAGACACCTGAAAAAACCGCAGTCACACAACAGACTCACACTCACATCAGGCTTTCCCGAAAATGAGGGTCTGTGAAGTGCTGAGAAGAAAACATGGTGAGAGCACAAGACACCCATTGATGTAAGAGAGCACAGACTGGGGGGGGAAGGCAGTGTGTGAGAAATAAATATAGAGAATGTTGTTTTTCTGTTTGTGTAAATGCAGTTGATCGAATAGCATGATTGACAGATGTACATGTAAACAATAGAAAGAAACCAGGAAATAGGGATCTACTGGAAACCAAAACTTTGCCAACAACTATCAGCAGCGTATCAGTTCAGGGAAGAAATGTGGTCAAGAATGTGGTTAAAAAAATCTAACCAAAAAAAGCCAACAAAATAGCAACAGAACTAAACATTGTATTAAGAGAGCACTTCACCATAACGGTACACCTCATCGTTTGCATGTTATTTTAAACTTACGCAATAATTTCTTTCTTCTGTGGAACATAAAAGAAGAAATTCTTAAGAATTGTACTAGTTGCTCTTTTCCATGCAAATACAATGACAAGCAAAAGCACCATAAAAGTGGGCCGTATGACTTGTTTGATGTATTACATATTATCACGCATTCCCTGGGATTCAAACCCATGACCCTGCTGTTGCTAACTCATTGCTATACCATTTGAGCTACAGGAATGCTGTATCTTTTGATTCTTTATGATAGAAACAAACTGAAATTTAAGTTCTTATTTACTGATATTCTTCCTCCAGTGGAGCAAGCCAGTGATTTGCTCTTCGAGAACAGAAACAGTGCTATTTGTGAACTGAATCATTCAAACTGATTCTGTGAACTAGACTCAAAAGAATGATTCATTCAGGAATCGCTGCTCCTTTAATGAACTCTCATTAATACATCTTATCAGTTGTCTGTTTCTCACCATATGGCTTCTTATCTAATGAATCATATGAGCCACTTTTATGATACTTTTTGGTGCTTTTATGCCCATTTTCAAGCCTGAGGAAAAGAGCATGAATTAAACCCTTAAGACTTTTTTGGAACACAACGATTTTCCACATGATCGGCGGCCGGTCACGCCGAGTTCACACTGCACGATTTTCAAACTCGTCGGATCGCCGTTGTTTTCACACTGCGTGACTATCTGGGGTAGCATTCAGTTGCTGCTGTGTTCACATTGCACGATGGATTGGTGGAGGTAAATAATTTTGCAGTAACTGTTATGCTGATGTTGTGGCTGGTCAAGCAAATGTTTGTGCTTGTTTCTGTTTGATATAATTGTTCATATATCTATTAAAATACTGATATTCTGGTCTATAACTCCTCCCCGAACTTCCCGCTGGCCTGTATCTTGGTCTCTCATTGGCTGTAGGTCATCGCCAATGTAGTTTTCAGTCAGACAGAAATCATAGCACACAGCGTGATTGTGACATGTCGGCAATTCGAGAAGGGTCTGGCTGCAGCCTTGCACTTGCACTCTCAGAACTTTGCGTTGAAGAAAAGTAGATTTTTGTTTGTATATGCTGTCAATTATAGTTCTTAGAAAGAAAATCGGAATCGGCAAAAATCGGTATCGGCAGATCACACTAACAAAAAAAATTGGAAATCGGAATCGGCCAAGAAAATTGCAATCGGTGTGTCTCTAATTTATTTGTCCATCCAGTGAAAGTAATAAACACTCTACATGCGTGATACTGAAAACAAACCTCAAGCAAGCACATTAGAGCGCCTGTTTACCATATTTGATGTGCTCTATGTGTGTGCGTTGATCATTGTTTATATGTGAATAAAAGCCCTGATTAAATTTGTTCATCGTATAAAGCTATTCTGTGTCTCTTCAGATACTTACATTAAACTGCTTGATTTTTATGAATTACTTTTACCCTATCTTTATGTAGTTTTTGGAGATTTAAAATGTTGACAACATAGACTCTCAGTGGAATTGTGTTCTGAAGATGAACAAAAGTCTGAAGGTGCGGACACATTTCCTATTTGTTCAGCGAATTTTCATTGGTGAATCCAGTCATTTCAATGAAATCGGGAATTTCGTTTTGGCTGAAAGATTTCCCCATGCAGATTTCGTAATGTGTTCAAGTTCGGATTTGCCGCACTGAACAACAAAAAGCTGCTTTGTTTGAAAGTGACTTCTGTGTAAGCTGTGCTTCATCGCTACATTATTGACAACAGACAATAGACCTTTTTTACAGATAATTTTTGCAGGTTTGGAATGACATGAGGGTGAGTAAATGATCACACAGCTTTTATTTTTGGGTGGACTATCCCTTTATGAATCTATGCGGGATGAGTCAAATAAATATCTGGTTAGTAAAAATATGAACTGAAAAAAAGCGCTCCACATATTTTATTTCTCAAAATTGGAATCGGCTTCATTTGCTTACTAAGCATTATACGTGTACTGTGATGTTTTTAGCTGTTGCTGACTAAACCTTGATATCAATATTGCGTGACACCAGGTGTCATTTTTGGAGAAGTTTCGCTCACATAAGAAATTATATTTTCACACTGAGTATAGGTTCAGATATTACAGTAACACAGTACATGTGTTTGTGTCAGTACCAAAGCCTAAGGGAGCCAGAATGTTCATCTCTGGCATCCCCATAACCAGCTACACTCATAAAACCTACCCCTGAAACAGCAGGACATGAAATAGCGAAAACCAGTTTCTCTCAGTTACTCTTACTCATACCCACAAGACATACCCTCCGCCAGAATCAATCTCCCTTTCTCGCTCTCACAAAGCACAGAGAATCCCTTTCTTCAGTGTGGATCATCAGATATAATGATTTTGGTGGTATTTTTGAAGAGGAAGTTTAAATGTACTGGGTGACAGGGGCCACAGTGACTCTGTATTTGACTCTTGTGATTCAGCCAGGAATACAATAAACAGAAGGCATGTCTACATATTTTTAAGCACACTGAACCTATGACTTCAGATTTTTCTTTCTTTCTGGATGACTAAGCAAGAGTCAGAATGACATATCTAGGATAATCTGGAATTTCCAAAAAGCAAACAGAAAGTACATGTCCACCCTATTAATAATCATAATTTACCTTTACAGTTACTACTAATAAACCCAAGTGCAGTTTAACAATGAATCAGACCATTTAAATATATGGTGCATATTATAAAATAGGGTTTGATACGTCTTCACCTGTTGAAATGCATGATGTGGGATGTTTCACCAAAATCAATTCTTGAACTACAGCATGCCATGAAATGACTTTGAGACTTCTTAAAATGGTAAAAGACTCACATGTCACCATCTTCATCTTGACGTGTTGCCTCAGCAATATCTGCCAGCAGCCGATCTGTGCTCTCCAGTGGAGGAGGCTGCCGAGGCCACTGGATATATGGACAACCTGCTATGACCCCAAAGGAGAAGAAATATTAGTATTCACAAACTAAATCAAACATGCAACTCAAACCACAAACCAACAGTTGTGTACTCAAAAAATGTAATTGGCCTCACTAAAAAATGGACCTTTGTCCTATACAGAAAGTAGTTTCTTGCATTGCACTTCCTTACGTCGTACCAACTGGAAGTAGTAGCTACGACAGGATATGTTTGCTAATATGCTTAGGCTCAATTTTGGACAGTTGCAGTCTGCATACATTTGGTTTAGATTACCTTTATAAAAAGATTTTTTTAAAAGTTCAAACTAAAGTTCTGCATAGCACATTATCATAAAAACCAGGAATTCAGTGCAGGTAAGAGTGGGGAATCTACTATTATCAATGTGTGACAGTTTTCAGCACACTTCTGGAGATTATGTATGTTAGATTATCTGTATAATGGAAACTGGGGAGTGGTGTAACACCAAGGCTGTCAATTTAATCAATCAGAAATGAACTATAGGGGTTATCATATGGCCAGCCAGAGACCACCCCCATCTAGCTTTTCATTTGAGCTGTGAGGTTGTGTTTAAATGACAGAATCTGAATCCACAAACGTACTTGTTTAATTTGATATAGAACATGCACAGAAACTTTTAGTCTTAGAAATATCATGACTACCAACAATGGGAGAGTGTGGGAAAGGTACTTTGACATAAATTCATGGATACAGTTTACAGTGTCTTTGTTTTCAAACGGTGTTACCTTGTACTTGACTTTTCAAACAGATAGACAGCTAATATGCGGTTTTGGTTGTATAGTGCAAAAAAACATGATGTATTACAACACTCCCCGGTTTCACCTACGTGTTAACCCACTGACACGTTTTGCACGCTGCTGAACCAAACATCCTGCTGATCAGCTCTATGGTTTCGTGTTGACTGTTGCTCGCTGACTGGACTGACCATGACTGCGCAATCATATGGGAGACGCACGCGCTCCACGCAAACGGACACACATACTTTCACAATGACATAACAAACTAAATTGCGCAAAGACATCCACGTTTGCATTTAAAATCTAAAGTGAGTGATCATTAAAAATAAACATTTTTGTAAACTTACGATATGGTGTTAAGTGTGGCACAAACCGGGAGTCATTAACGCTTGGGTTATCTCCAAATGTACTAAATATCCGCTGTGGATCTGTGTCTATTTGTGCCTCGGGGTTCTTCAACACTTTTGGAGCCACGCTAGGTGGATCTTTTCTTGGACCACTGTGGTGATGGTCCACATCCAGTGGGAAAGGACGTTTCCTTGGCGGAAGTTTGGAAAATGAGGAAACTGCCGGTTTTCCTGCAGCGTTCGTCTGATTGTTGCACTTCGCGTTAGGGGTTATGGGTCGGGTTTGTTTGGGACCCTCACGCGTCCTATTTCCCCTGTCACCCACAGCGTCTGTTTGAGTAGTCTGCGAAACTGATCCATCACAACAGTCCTGTGGTTCAGATGGAAGAATTCCGTGTCCATTGCTGCACTTGTGCGCCGCTTCCACCTGTCTTTCTGGAGTAGGTCTAGGGCGACCTTGGTCTCCCGTCTGCGCGCAGCTCCCACGCTCTCTGGTTTTGTTGGTAAGATCCAGTGGCACAGATCGCACAGTGTGATTACTGCCACTCATGGTCATTTTCCTCAGGTACGCGACGTATGGGTTCTAGACGAATCCTTTTATCATCATTATGTAAATCTGAATCTCTACTCGGTCCCAAGATGACTATCACCTCAGTTTGCCTAGATTAAACAACATACTTACATGTGCTTTGCTCAAGATGTTTAAGCACAGCTCGCCGAAGCACTTAAATTCATAGTCTTCTCATATGCACAAAGTTTTCTATTAAAATGATCAGTTAAAAAAAGACCCGAATAAAAAATCCTCAAAAATTACACATGCAATTAGAATGATTACATTTTAGGGCAATGACAATATGTCATGTGCATAACTATTATTATCATTATTATTATTTTATTCACGCTCTGCAGTTATGATGATAACCCCTGCGCTGTTCTGTCGCTATATCTGAACTAAATTCACAGAGTCTCCCTCTCTCATTCACTCAAATTAGGAAGTAGGTGGGTAAGTGAACTGTGGGGTTTTCCCTTTCAGCTATAACTGAATCGTTCGCAAGCCACCCATTTGAGACACGATTCAAAACGCGCAGCTGACGCTCTTTGCAGTTTAGATGAAAACTTAAGCATTTATTAGTAGCTTACTTTGTACTTTGCAATTAGTATCACTTTATTCGTCGTACAAGGTAAAAGTTTCGTTTTGGGTGGTTGTTGTTGGACGGGAACATGGAATCGGTTTCGGTTTAGTTGTTCAGTTTTTGGTGTGTTTGAAACTGTCTTTTGAATCTTTCTTATGTATGTCGGCGTTTGTGTTTTCATATATCAAAGCAGATGAATGTGTCGCGTGCTTTTGTAGAACAGGTGTGTAGTTTTGCTTTCCTTTCAGCCGTACGCTTTTTTTAATGTTCTCTCTGGTGCCTGGTAGGAAGCGGGCTGGATCTCCGGCGGGGATCTCCCTCAGCTGTTTTTCGGGAAACCTGCCAGGCTCAGCCTTCTGTCTTCCTGTATTTGACCACATTCACATCGGTCAGCGGATCATTAGTAACTGATTGAACTGATAAAATAGAGATTATACATATACATTAGAGATTATATTTATGACTCAAACCGATAACAACAACAAAAAGTATGACTTTCATATGCTATCTCAGCATCTTATTTGGAAAGCGCCCCCATTTTCATCAGATCCCTTATATTGGCCTAGTCCAGATAGGCCTAATAATTTTTGATTCATAGAACGTTCTGAAAACGTTAAAGGTGACATATCATGAAAATCTGACTTTTCCAGGTTTTAAGTGCTGTAATCAGGTGTCCGGTGCATCTATCAACCAAGGAAACGTGAAAAAGATTAACCCAGTAACTTTGTTTTGGTAAGCCTTTTTTTCTGCAAGCTCTGAAAAAAACAGCACGTCTGATTTCCCTCCCTTGGTGTTGTGGCAAAGGGATCTCATTATAATATTACCGCCCCTTAATCTGTACATTTACACCCGGCGCTTGTGTTTTCTCAAGCAACAACGGTGTACCAGTTCTAATGCCATGGCGAAAGTTTGAGCAAAACATGCTAACTGTTCTGTCTTTGGCTGCACAGACGAGCACAGAACACTATTTAGAGTCCTAGCCTCAGAGGAGACAAGAGAGCAGTGGATTTATTGATTTATTGAATGTATATTGCTGCTGCCACACAGATCTAAAATAAACATGCAATTTATTTCCCAGCTGTTTACCTTCACAGACATAAACGACTGTTTTTTGTAACTCAAGTGTGTTTTTAACGTAAACTTGTGTGTGAATGATAACTTAGTTTAGTACTCACATGCACAGCCGCTTTCTGTCCTTGTGTGCTTCGGATGTGTGCTCTTCAGAAAAACATATATCAGAAGTTTAAACACATATGGTTTAAAACGCATGATTTCAGCACGATAAACATGATAATCAGAACCAAAACAGATGTTTTTAGCAGGTACAAGCTGTAATGACTCAGCTCTATTCTGGAAAAGGGGGCGGGGAGCAGCAGCTCATTTGCATTTAAAGAGACAGGCCTGAAAAACTGATCGAAAAACCGATCGCATTTAAAGAGACAGGCCCGAAGAACCGATCGTCTTTTCATATAAAGCATGAAATAAACATTAATGAACATCAGAAGGTATTTTGTCAATACGCACAACTTTTCAAGTTTAAGTCCACCTAAGTTAATATACTCTCCTGTCTGATTTGTTTGTCAGATAAAATGGTGGATTCAGCGAAATGATTGGTCAGATTGTCTGTCAATCAAGCTCTTTGCAAAGGTTCAATTCATATTTGCATGCTTTGGACTACGGATCACGCCAAAGCAAAGGGAAAATAAGGTTGAAAGCAAATGGTGCATCGCGTCACAGTGTTACAAAGTCATCCTGGCTATGCACAATCAGCTTGTAACACTCCAAAGAGAAAGGAAAACTTGAAATCGCATCATATGACCCCTTTAAACATCCTTTAACCACTCCCCTCCAACCATCAGTCTGCTGCAAGCTAGAGATTAAGCTGCACTAAAATCAAGCCCCACCACTTAATTTTTTTCATTCAGTTTAATTCAAATCATAATACTGCTGTATAGTTTTTTCTTTTTACTGATATTCATAACTTGGAATGGCCCACAATGCCTATCTGAAGTTAAGATTGCATAAACTTGACTCGAAAAGACTCAATTTTTTGTGAACATACTGAGGAAACACAGTAGTGTTGTAATTGTGTATTCTATCCTGTGTTGTAGCTTGACACTGAGTTTGGAAAAATGTTTCCTGGGAAGGCTGACCTCTTTGTTTTAGTTTTTCTTAGAGTTTTATCACAAATGTATTTTCACCCACACTTATATGCTTATGCAGTCCAAAGAACAAATGAATACAAAGTGATTAATTTGACAAGTTTAAAATTATTTTTACCCTTTATGGGCATTTTTACCTTTGTAAAGCCATTTTTTTCTAGAAGTGTGTCTTATATTTAATCAATAAAGTCAATTATAATAATAAGACATTTGGGGCAGTTACCAAACAAATAAAATCATTATCAACAAAATTCATGCAATGCAGAGGAAACACAGAAGCTGCATCTGAAGTGGCATTAGATGCATACACTGTTTAATGCAAGGCATGAATGCTCTAACCTGCAGTTACAAATGCATAAATAATGTTTTGATATTATAATCTTAAAACGTTGAATACTGATATTTGAAATTATTTAAAAATATATATAAAAAGGTACTTTAAAATGTGAAATTAAAACCGCCAGTAGGTGGCAGCAAGTTACTGTTAAGTGAGTCATTGCGATTGAACCGAATCATTTAAATGGTTGATTGAAACACTGTCATGTTTTTCAGAGACGCAAAACAGTGCTGTGGCTTTGTTTGGAACCATATTTGTTGGCGAAATAGAGCAAAAAATAGGCAATGTGGTGTCTAAAACGTAATTTTCTTAATATTAACTTCTTGATTATTGAACTGTTGTATAAAATCTTTTTTTTTTGTATAATTTTTTTTTTTCGAAAAAATGGCACTCTTTGTGTAATATTGATCAACTATATGAAATTATATAAATATATACATTTTCTGCCCCCATATCTTGATTTTTGGGAGCATTCTAAATGCATTTTATTATACTGAATCATGCAGTGAAAGAACACACTCTAAATGAGCATTCAGTCTTGCTAGTGTTTAAGCACTCATAACTCCTCTCATAATTAATAAAGCTGTCCATACACGGTATGATAAATGACTCTCTAACTTACATCGTATGTACATCTGCACTTTGTTGCTTATGATGAGGGATTTCGCGAGTTTCTGTCTGAACAAATCTCTGGGGTTTCAGCGATGACTAATCTGAAAGCCTCTGATTGGCTACTGCATTCCTAAGCTCTACAGAATCGTGTGTGATTGGTTATAATGAGCAACCCTGTAAAAACGCGTAAAAATAAAATGTGATGTAACATAACCAGGTCTAAATTTAATACAGCAATCGAAATTTCATTTTAAGTATTACAATTTGATTGAAAAACCATAGGACCCCCCCCCCAAGTATATTTTTTGGGTGTTATGGTGGGTCCCTTAATGCTTATGGGAGGTCCGGGACCCCCCCAGCCCCCCCTCAATTCGAACACTAGTTTTTGGTTACAAAATATAACCTAAAGAAAACATTCCTAGAACGATTGGAATGGAAATAACCAATAATAATAATAATAAAATGGAAATAAATGCTAACGTTAGGACAATGTTTTGTGTTTGCTGGGAGTTTGATACCATTAGCATCTATCTATCCCATTGTACAATCAAAAAATCTTGGGGAAAAAAGACTTCAGATTATGTGCACATAAAAACCTTCGTCATACCCCTCTCTTTCCACCTACACCCCACTAGCCTTAGTTCCTCCTCACACCAGGGGTTTGGAGTTACCTGGGCCAGTTTTGGACTTTCCTGCATTGTGGGGTTGAACAGGTATGGAGCAGCAAACGGAAAAAAAATTATAGGTGTTTAAAGTCCCTAAAACACCAAGAAGAGTGGTGGGTTTGAACTTGTCAGGTGATGACATACAATAGGCCTACCGTCAAAATGCTGAATCACAGCTAGTTTAGTTCCCATGGGCCTACTGAAGATCAACAAGAAGATTCCATGATCTGCGAATGAACTTTTTAAATTGAATTGAACACACAACTCAATTTAGCTTTAGGTTTGCTGCTGCATAATCAAAATACATTTGACAATATAGCTGAAATATAATAGGCTACTTGTTAAATCATGGAGGGACATGAGGGAGAAAAAAGACAATAGACCTAAACGCACACAGTGTTCATGTCCTTGATACCTTAATCCAGTTTTATAGACAGTCATATGGTCAGTTTTTCTAATTTAATTTTTCAGTATTTTTTCCCGAACATATTCCATTTACATGTACCACTCATACATTGCCTTCAGAGGAAATAAAAAACATGCAATCAAACCAATAGTAGGCCTAGTCAATTTGTAAAATTTTAACCATATAATTTATTCTGCTATACAAGATACAAGATGGACATGGCGGACATGTATTATGTAACAACAGAGAGAGCAAAATCGTTCATTAAGAACTCTAAAAGCATCTTCTTGCACGTTTTTCAAAAGCTGTATGGCTCTTCTATCACTGTCATAAGAGTCGCTGACTGATGCTGAAATGCTGTGAAGCAGCGCCATCTGCCGATGAGAGAAAATGTACATTTGTGAACAGTTTTAAATAACTACAAATAGCTTAAGTACTATCTCTTGTACTACACAAATACATATTATATGATTACATATGGAAGAAGCAATGGAGCAGTTGTTTAATAGGAATCACAAAAAAATCCAGATAAAAAAATTATCTGACCCCTCCCCCAAATATAATAGGCCTACTTTATATATATACACACACACACATACATTTTTATTAGAAGTGTATATATGGTAACACTTCTCTTTAATGGTCCACCAACAGACATTTTACTAACTATAAGTAACATATATGTAATTACATATCAACCCAACTCTAACCCTAACCTAATAGTCTACCAGTTCTCTAAAGAGGGTTATTTGACATGTAGTTGTAAATTAATGAGAGTTAGTTGACTTGGATTATAGGATTATTTGTGGATTATCAAAATAAAGTGTAATCATATATTAAATTATAAATTAGTATATATTTGTATGTGTGTTCCCACATAGTGACGTAGACATGTGGGGGCGTGTTAGAACGAGCCGTTTTAGGTAGGCGTGGTTGACTCTTAACTTTTATAAAGAATATCTCTTTGGATTTGAGACTTTAGTCTTTGCAACTTTACAGATCTTCTTTATGCCCCAAGAGCTTGTAACACTCCAAAGAGAAAGGAAAAATTGAAATCGCATCATATGACCCCTTTAAAGTAAATCTCAAGAAACGTCGTCAGCTAATACTAGCTTTCAGTAGGAGTTTAATATCGTCCCTAAATCGTTTTCCCTCCTTTGGTTCCATCAGTTATCATCTTTTTTTTTAGTCTAAATCTTGTTTAGTTTAGTCTTTGACTAGTGTTAGAATTGTTATTTTTTTATTTAGTTTTTTATATTTTTATTTTAAATATATTAATTTATAATATATTAAATATAGAATTTTAATAAAAAAATTATTTAACATTATAGCATGAAAACATCAATATAGTAGCCTAGGCCTATACATTTTAGTATTGATTATGTAATAATCTAATGTAATTTTAAGGCCAGCCCTACTAGAAACTCTCCCTCCTTCTTTCTATAGTCATTTGTTATGTATTCAGGAAGTCGTTCACACATGGTCGGTCCAATACACCACAATTCAAATAGCGTCCCAACTGCACACAGCCCAAGCTGCTCGGCTCACTCTCTCTCTCTCTCTCACACACACACACAAAGAAAACAAACCTGTTTGTCTGCCTGTTCGTAACAAAAAATTATATATATATATATATACACACACACACATACATTTTTATTAGAAGTGTATATATGGTAACACTTCTCTTTAATGGTCCACCAACAGACATTTTACTAACTATAAGTAACATATATGTAATTACATATCAACCCAACTCTAACCCTAACCTAATAGTCTACCAGTTCTCTAAAGAGGGTTATTTGACATGTAGTTGTAAATTAATGAGAGTTAGTTGACTTGGATTATAGGATTATTTGTGGATTATCAAAATAAAGTGTAATCATATATTAAATTATAAATTAGTATATATTTGTATGTGTGTGTGTGTGTGTGTGTGTGTGTGTGTGTAGAGAGATTTTCATCTTTTCATTCATTCTAGCTCTGCTAAAAATGATGCTATCCATAAACTCAACCGATCATTAGCGGTTACATGTATAAAAGTGGATATCTGCATCAACTACACTTTAATAGTGTGAACAAAGTGATTTTTTAGATGATTTAGACACATGTCAGAACCTTAACTTGATAGATAGATATAAAAAGGTAAACCGCTTGTGTGTGTGTGTGTGTGTGTGTGTGTGTGTGAGATAAAGTATAAATTAAATTGGTTAACAGGTTTCTTGAATAGAGCAGACCTACAATGTTTGTTTACCGAAAATTTACCATATAGCTCGGACAGAAATGCAATCACTTTTTTGGTAACTTTGAAGAATCTGGAAATGTCAATACTACTTTAATTCAAGACTTATCACCGCTTCACTAAAAATGGTTCTATGGATTTTGTAACGATCTAATCTAATATATATATAAAAAAGACTACATTATAGTACATTAAGAAATACATTAAGTATTAAAACTATTTAAGTAGTGGTAGAAAAATAATTTAAATTTGGTCATCAAATGAAATGGCAACACTGATTAAACATTTGAACACTACATGTACCTATAAATAGAATTACAATGCTTAGCAAAAATGTCTGTCAAAAGAATGTAAATATAAGTACTGACGTGTCTACACACGTATAAAGATGCGAATCAGTTTTGCGAGGGAAAAACGATCCTGGTAAAAAAGTTCCTATAGTAAACCTTAACAACAACTTGACTGCAATAAAACACCTTATTTTCAATCTTAAGAAACCTAAGATAGCTGTCCCTATTTAGACTTTGTTGTGAGGCTTGACCAAAACATTATAGCATGAAATCTCATATCAGTATGGTAGGCCTATACATTTTGTATTAATTCATTTGTGTAATAATCAAATGTCACTTTAAGACCAGCTCTACTACAGCACAGAAACTCTCTTTGCTCCCTCTTTCTATAGTCATTTGTTATGTATTCAGTAAGTCGTTCACACATGGTCGGTCCAATATGCCACAATTCAAACAGCGTCCCAACTGCACACAGCCCATGCTGCTCGGCTCACTCTCACACACAAAGAAAACAAACCTGTTTGTCTGCCTGTTAGCTACCCGGAAACTGATCAGAGAGAGAGAGAGGGAGAAAGAGAGGTGAATGTGTGCAGTTGAGTTCCTGTCCATAACCAGCATGAGCGTGAGTGCCTCTTCAAAATTTAGGACACAGAGATACAATCAGACAGACTGAGAGAAACCATATGGATGAGAGAGATAATTGCTGAGCAAGAGCACTAAATGTCTGTATGGGTGGAGTGATGGTGGGAGCTGGAGGCCGGTAGATCTCAGAGTAAAGCTTTAGTATTTCAACTATTTTTGGTGTCATGGTTTTGGGTTTCTCTTTGCTTGTTTGCAACATCTTTGTAATGGAGACATGGCAAAAAGACACATGACTAGAACTTTGCACCTTTTTTCTATGGAGCACCTTTTTTCTTTTTTCGCTGAAACCAACCTGCATAGTTTTTTGTCAGGTGTTGCGCATGTGTCGTTTAGGTAAATCAGCTTTTCTTGTTCTGCTCGTGAAGAATGTATCTTGTGAAACGAATGTGGCAATGATGACAAATGTCTCATCACTTCTTCGCACTTCATCTGACCCGTGGACCTTGACATGGACAACACAAGGTTTTTAAACTGGATTATTGAACAAAGTTTTGCAGTGGTAAGATGACTGTTCATTTTTAAATCATCATACTTACAGCTGCGTTTGAGCTGTTTTTATCATTATATCATCATCAGTGATAACAGGACAAAGAGTTACTGGGGAAGTGGTTTTCAGATAAATCACGCTACCTAAAAATAGATTACTTTTCTGAGAATAATGGGGATGTTAATTAACCACTTGTTATTGTATCTGGTTGTTTGATAAGTTATAGTTTCAGAGGATTTCATCTTTAGCTAGCTCTGCTAAAAATGACGCTTTCCATAAACTCAACCTATCATCAGGTGTTACATGCATAAAAGAGGATATCTGCATCAACTACACTTTAATTGTGTGAAGGAAGTGATTGTTTCCAACACTATTTTCGATGACTGTTGATTCAGACACATGTCAGAATCTTAACTAGCACTCCACGTGTGACACGTTGGATATATCTCATCTATCATGGCAACAGCTAGACGTTCGAGTCAAGCTCCTGACACTTCTCAATCCGTGTCCCAGTCCCCCACCAGCACGGACCGTAAACTTCTTGATAAAGTTCTCAGGAGACTGGACAAACTGCATAAACTGAGCACCAACCCCAGGTTGGGTCTTAAAAACAGCCCGCCGTACCTTCCCGAACTAGTGTCGGAGACCGCCATCCACCTGACAGAAGTATGGGCTCCCTACAGGGGCTCCATGATGGCCGTGCCACGAGGGGACGAGGGTGATTATCTGAGGATCCATATTCGACACCTGCTGGACAAGGCAGATAGAGCTGTGCTGCTGTTCAAGGATGGCAAGGAGAAGATGTTCGAAGAGACATCAAGCTACAGGTAAGACAAAGCCAAGAAGCACAGAGGTCAGTTTTAGTCTACGCACTGGACTCGGTATGCGTGTTCTTCAGGTGGCCACGTTCAAACATCTCAGAGATTATCATAATTGAGTGGACTGAATGATATTAAAAGTTAAAAAAAAAGACACAAGGTATATAGATAATAAAGCAGATTAATCCTGTTTGTTTTAGGTAGTTCCATCAAGAGTGTGAATAATTTTTGCTGGTGATATATTTTATATACTTTGCAATAATAATTTAATTAAAAAAACACATAAATGCTCAAAAACACTCTCAAAATTTCAAAATTTGTAAGATTAGGTAATGTCTGTCTCTTAAGACAAGAAAATTACAAATTGACCGTCCGTTGAATGCACACTTGTGAGTAAAGGCAAAACGAGCCTTCAAAGTGAGTTGTGAGTGAGTTGGATGCTCATTTGCTGCAAACTCTTTATGACTCTGCAAATCCGCCCACCTGGAGGTTTTGCCACCGTGTGGTGTCAGTTGAGCTGATACCCGGAGGTTTGTGTGTGTGTGCGTGTGGGGGCATGTGTGTAGGCCAATTAACAGTGTCTCCTGGCGAGCGGTGGGTAGTGAGAGAACGAGGATCCTGGGAGGAGAGCAGGTGGCATGGGGCAGCAGGGTCACAGGATCTGTCTCCTTAGAAGCTGTGTTCTTCCTGAGCGCTTTTTCTGTGCTATGACAGCTTACACACACACACACACACACACACACACACACTTAAGCAGCACTAAGGGGCATTTATTGCACAACACTGCAGAATTAAGATTTTAAAAGCCTTTCCACAAAGGCTCTTTGAGTTAGATCCACTTTTCATTAGCAAACCGTCATTTCGTGCTAATGCAGCATGTTGCCTTTTTACTTTTAGAAGGCATTCCTAAATAATTTAACTTGTTTCCTCCAAAACATTTTATATGTGTTAAGACAACAGACTTGTCATGGTTTGATTATAAATCTTGCAAAGATATTTTGTACATTCGACGTGATGAGAACGTAAAAGGCTGCTTCGCTCCCTGCATAAACCTTCATGTGCCCTAATTACATAGGGTGGCTTATGCTTAGTCATAGGTTTATTGTAATCGGCTTGGAGTAGATCTTCAAACAAAGTACACTTATTCTGCTAAGTTGAAACAACTCCTGTTTACTTCATTACCACCCTCCCCAATCACTCTCTCTAGCTCTCTCTCTTTAGTGTTCGCTGTGCTGCAGTGGCCAGGCTTTAGTTTCATTAGGCCTGAGAGTTTTTTCCAAGCCAGTGCTTCGCCACAATCAGGCCATTATGCCTCCTCTGTCCTGGTTCCCATATTGGCCTGGGTGAGAGCCAACTTCCACCATTTCAGGGGCAAAGCTTTAACCTCCTGCAGCCTAAATAGACAGTTTATCCAGCATGTGTAAAATACAATATAATAACAAAAAATTATATATATATATATATACACACACACACATACATTTTTATTAGAAGTGTATATATGGTAACACTTCTCTTTAATGGTCCACCAACAGACATTTTACTAACTATAAGTAACATATATGTAATTACATATCAACCCAACTCTAACCCTAACCTAATAGTCTACCAGTTCTCTAAAGAGGGTTATTTGACATGTAGTTGTAAATTAATGAGAGTTAGTTGACTTGGATTATAGGATTATTTGTGGATTATCAAAATAAAGTGTAATCATATATTAAATTATAAATTAGTATATATTTGTATGTGTGTGTGTGTGTGTGTGTGTGTGTGTGTGTAGAGAGATTTTCATCTTTTCATTCATTCTAGCTCTGCTAAAAATGATGCTATCCATAAACTCAACCGATCATTAGCGGTTACATGTATAAAAGTGGATATCTGCATCAACTACACTTTAATAGTGTGAACAAAGTGATTTTTTAGATGATTTAGACACATGTCAGAACCTTAACTTGATAGATAGATATAAAAAGGTAAACCGCTTGTGTGTGTGTGTGTGTGTGTGTGTGTGTGTGAGATAAAGTATAAATTAAATTGGTTAACAGGTTTCTTGAATAGAGCAGACCTACAATGTTTGTTTACCGAAAATTTACCATATAGCTCGGACAGAAATGCAATCACTTTTTTGGTAACTTTGAAGAATCTGGAAATGTCAATACTACTTTAATTCAAGACTTATCACCGCTTCACTAAAAATGGTTCTATGGATTTTGTAACGATCTAATCTAATATATATATAAAAAAGACTACATTATAGTACATTAAGAAATACATTAAGTATTAAAACTATTTAAGTAGTGGTAGAAAAATAATTTAAATTTGGTCATCAAATGAAATGGCAACACTGATTAAACATTTGAACACTACATGTACCTATAAATAGAATTACAATGCTTAGCAAAAATGTCTGTCAAAAGAATGTAAATATAAGTACTGACGTGTCTACACACGTATAAAGATGCGAATCAGTTTTGCGAGGGAAAAACGATCCTGGTAAAAAAGTTCCTATAGTAAACCTTAACAACAACTTGACTGCAATAAAACACCTTATTTTCAATCTTAAGAAACCAAACATAGCAGTCCCTATTTAGACTTTGTTGTGAGGCTTGACCAAGTTTCTGGTCTGCTGTGACTACTAATGACCAGTGTGTATAGTGTGGCATTATCATGGAAATGGGGGAAACTTTCCTCTGGCAATGGAGGCCAGCAGTTTAATGTTATGTTTCGGCACAGCAGTGGCCGTTCTGTTAACTTCCTGATCACAAAACATAACTTTATTATTAATCTTATTATTTTTATTTATGCATAGCAAAAAGAGAGAATGAAATATGCTCCTCAAATAATACATCAAATTAGAGAATAACATAAAATCCCTGAGACCCAATAGATAATATTTGGTCTGCTCCTCATTTATCTCCAAGTAACAGTAAATAACGGGCTTGTTTGCAATGTCTGCAAGTTGTTTACCTTCTCTTCTGTTTGAAGCTGAATAGCAAGACCTACAAGTCACAACTTTTTTTCCCTTTACTTTCCACTTGAGCGCCAATGTATTTAATATTTCACACAGCATGTCACAACTGGACTTTTAGTGTTGAGAAAAGTCTAGAAAGAAAAAAAGAATACAAGCAGTACCACTATGTGTGCATGTATGCATACTTTACATACACGTTAGATATGCTGACAAAATAGATACATAATCTGAACACCATGTTTAATATATTTGATAAATACAGTGGGTCACACCCCATTCCTCAAAGTTCAGATTTTTTATTGAGAAGCATGAATTAGCCTATTATAACTGATTTAATTTATTCACTATAAGAGAGAACAGAATGACCACACAAACCTAATACAGTATATGTGGGTAAATGTAGCTCATTTCACCTGCTTTATGACTGCTGGGCAGCGATGAAACCATGTCAACATGGTTAGTGGACAGGACAGTATGTGGTGGAAAATTTAAGAACACGACTAAAGGAAACTTCAGGCCTCAGAAGCGCTGTACTTTCTGTTAGCTGCTCAGATAAAAGGTAAGACAAAATGAGGGCTTTGTGGCTAAGCTACTAGAGATAAAAGTAGAAACAAAGCGATCATATTGTCTGAGTGGAAAAATCTGTTGCATACAAGCCATGTTTGGTCAGTTTAGCACCCAAGTTAGAGAGTTTCTGCATATGCATCTCAACACACTAAAGCCACATTATCCACAGCCAAACAGAAACAGACTCAAGGAATGTGAATTATAAGATTTATTACTGACTAAACTGTTAATACACAAAAAAAAATATTGCCGTTAAAACAGTTTTCTCTCAAAAATTAGCATTAAATGTTTAAGAAGAAAGACTGAAATCGTATTTTCTTGTAGAAAATACTCCAATAACCATATTTACAACATCAAAAAATACACTTATTATATTACAATGAAAAGTTGAAACATCACTTACTACACCATTTTTAAAAACGATGCATATTACAACTGCACTGTTGTGTGCTTTTTTTAAATAAATGCAATATATTTATTTTCTCTATACTTAGACTTAATATAAAGATTAAATCTGCAATCAGAGTTAATTATGTTAAATCAGATTGTACATTTATTGACAAGAGTATAGCAGATGAGAGGTGCTGATCTGTGCCGTGCTGTGTAGAGGATGCTGATGCTACCATGGCAACCTCTTTGATCAATTAGTAATGGAAAATTCTGTCAGCCCGACCACAGACACTCAGGACAGGATGCATCAAAGTACTACTTCCTGTTTCTAGAAGTTAGAGTGCATTGTGCTTATGCCAGTCTTTTGTTTCTTTTTGGGTGTATGTTTGTGCAACTTGTTAACACGATTTTATAACGCATCAAAAAACAGTTATCATACGTGCACAAAACAAAAAAGCACCACAGCTCTTCTGTGCACCTAGTATTTCTAGCCACTTTATACAGACAAATGTGTTTTACTATGTAATATTTGCCTGTGTAATATTTGTGTAACACACACAAAATATGTATTTTTTTTTAATGTAAAAAATATTACATTTGCTTTCTTTTTCAGGAGAAATCTTACTAAGCTGTCACTGCTGTTCAGCCACATGTTGAATGAACTACAAACTTTGTTTCCTGGGGGACGATTTCAGGGTGATACTTATAGAATTACAAAGACAGAAGCCAAAGACTTCTGGAGGAAAACCTTTGGACACAAGTATGACAAAAATAATTTACTTTAATATGTATTGAAGATTCAACCTTACGCATCCATTTTTGGACAGTCAACCCTCTCTCTCTCTCTCTCTCTCTCTCTCTCTCTCAGATGTATAGTGCAGTGGAACATTTTTAAACAGCAGCTGAGGAGGGTTCATTACTTTGAAGAGGGAATGGAGGCCATGGCTTTGAAGTCCACAGTTGATCTCACTTGTAACGATCACATATCCATCTTTGAGTTTGATATTTTCACCAGGCTTTTTCAGGTATCCTAAGCTTGAGGAGAACTTTTGTTAAAAACAGCAGGAACATTCCATGACTTATTAGATATGTTTGATAAACTATAAAATAAATCTAGCATGAAAAGTAGATCATGTGAACATTTATATATTATAAATGTTAAAGTTTCAGGTCTTCTACTCTATTCATGGAAAGTGCCAGCAATAGAACATTACCTCCTGGTCCTTTCATTCCCTTCCTTACTTTTTATTTGAGTTTTTTTGCATTTGGTTCCTTTAGCCCTGGTCAACTTTGCTAAGAAACTGGAATCATTTAGCAGTAACTCACCCAGGATACATGGCGTTTCTCACCTACGACCAGGTCAGGGTCCGACTAGAGCACTACAGACATCGTCCTGGCAGGTAAGCCAATGGCAGAGCCCAAATGAGCTAAATAAGTAAATAAACCCAAAATATTATAGATTGCTCATCTAGGTTTAACCTTAGAATTACAGTGGTTTAGGTCTGAACTCTTACTGGCTCTCTCCACAGCTACATCTTTCGTCTCAGTTGCACACAAATGGGTCAGTGGGCGATTGGTCATGTGACCAGTGATGGCAACATTGTGCAAACCATTCCCCAAAATACACCTCTTTACCAAGCACTCATACAAGGTTTCAGGGAGGGCTGGTGAGTTCACAATCGAATAGAAAAAAAGCATGCTGGAATTCAATCTGACGTCATAATGTTAACATAATCTGGATGCTTACATCTACAGCTATTTATATCCTGATGGGCGTGATGTGAACCCTGACCTCACCAGCCTGTGCAGTCCGACTCACAAGGGTCGAGTCAAAGTCACAGAGGTAATATATACAATATATACCTCAATATAACAAATATTGTCTTTTCTTCAAATAAAATAAATGTTAACTGATATAAAAACATTTTATTTCAGCTCATTTATTTTAACCTCATTTAATTTAGTTAATTAATTATTTGATGTATTAAAATAACTAAGACTAAAACAGAAATAAAAATTGCTAAAACCTATTTAGCCATACAGTATATATACAGTATATATATATATATATATATATATATATATACAGGTGCATCTCAATCAATTAGAATGTCGTGGAAAAGTTCATTTATTTCAGTAATTCAACTCCAGATGAGCTGAAGGCCACTGTCAAAGAAACCTGGGCTTCCATACCACCTCAGCAGTGCCACAAACTGATCACCTCCATGCCACGCCGAATTGAGGCAGTAATTAAAGCAAAAGGATCCCCTACCAAGTATTGAGTACATGTACAGTAAATGAACATACTTTCCAGAAGGCCAACAATTCACTAAAAATGTTTTTTTTATTGGTCTTATGAAGTATTCTAATTTGTTGAGATAGTGAATTGGTGGGTTTTTGTTAAATGTGAGCCAAAATCATCACAATTAAAAGAACCAAAGACTTAAACTACTTCAGTCTGTGTGCATTGAATTTATTTAATACACGAGTTTCACAATTTGAGTTGAATTACTGAAATAAATGAACTTTTCCACGACATTCTAATTTATTGAGATGCACCTGTATATAAACAAAAATTACTAAAATGCCAAAAACACAAAAAAATACTAAAATTAAGTAAAATTAAAAAAAAAAAAAAACTATAATAGTATTTCAATTATACTAAAATAACACTACAATGCTCAGATTTTTTTGGGGGGGATCACGTTACAAGAAAATGTAAATGATAATAATAATTACTGTTGTATTATACTACATTCAATTATTGCCTATATTTTTCATTGTTCATGTACACATTACACTATCCTATATGTGTTCCTCTTTTTTGCATGTGTGTCTTAAAAGCTGATAAATTAGAGTTTGAAATATACTCTTTTTTTGAGCATTTTTTTGTCTCTAATGCAAGATGCACTTTTTTCCTCTCTCTCCTTTATGTGTTGAATTTCTCTCTTCAGGAGCAGTATGAATTATACTGTGAGATTGGCAGCACATTTCAGCTCTGCAAAATCTGCACAGAACGAGACAAAGACACTCGCATTCAGCCCTGCGGGCATCTGCTGTGTCAGCCCTGCTTGACTGGCTGGCAGGTATATAATTTTCTTATTGTGCTCAGACCTCTACCTCCATTCACACTTGCATTCACACTCACAATCAATCATGGTCAAGTTACACCCAAAAACCCACATTCAGAACAGCTATACATAATTAGGCTACATGATTGTGTTTTCCGTTGTTGGTGCATAAACATCATAAATAGAACTCATTAGAATACAATTATTTTACTGGAAATAAATCACTAACATAAACTGATAATTAAATGCTTGCGTAAAACAAAGTCATTCAGAAAGCAGTTCCGCATGAAATATAGTGTTTGCCACAGTGTCATGCAACATGACCTGACATTTTGGCTCAAGCTTCCTGCCTGTGTTTGATCAAGCATATGTGTGCAGTGTGACTGATTTTCCACTTCTCTTAAGTCACACTTCATTGCATGCTAAGATAACATTTACCCTATAGAGAATGAGAGGACGTGATGCATTTCTGCAGCTCTACATCTTACAATGTAACACATTCAAAGACAAGTGCATCTCTCATAAGATGTCAAGAGATAAGCAAGTCTTTCTTGTGGTGTGATGTGCAGGAGAAGGATGCCCTTGGGAGCATTAAATAAGTATGTGAATTTGCGTGTTGAAAGTTGTGTCACTCCCTCTGATGTGCAGAAGTCAGACGGGCACACGTGCCCCTACTGCCGCTGTGACATCAGAGGCACAGAATCCATCCTCATTGAGCCCTACCTGCCAGAGAGAGACAGGAGGGCAGGGGGGGAGGAGGAAGAGGAGGAAGATGAAGATGAGGAGGAAGATCATGAGGATGTGGAGCTGGTGATGAAAAAACTGGCTTGTATGAAAAAGGTGAGAGTATGTACGGTAATATGGGAATCAGGAATTCTTTGCTTGGCAATCTGAAATGCACTTTTTTTTTCTATTTAATCTATTTAATTAGATTTTACTCTTATATGTTTACTTTTGTGTGTTTAGAGTTCTCAAATATTAATTTCCATTGCTTGTATTTTTATATAATCAACCACATTTATACAAAATGCCAAGACCTCTAGACCTCACACTGTCCTTTCAAACAAAATACATTTACATGAAACCAACAAACAGGTATCCAATTTATAAAATGATTCAGCAGTGTAATGGCTAGATTATAGGTGATTGCATAATCTGTTCAATATCAGCCAATATTAGAGATTTATACATTTGTTTATAGATATTTAATTGTGACTGCTCATTTCCAGTTTTAACATTTAGATTACCTTTGTTGCCATCTAAAGCTCACTTAAAGTCCATCTATAAAAACACTGTTAAATGTAATGTTTAGTAAATCTCAAAATGAATATCCATTTTTCATACTGTTAATGTAAATGTTGTGATACCTAAATTCACCTGTAGCAAAATGCTAAGATAAAATTGTATTTTTTTATACACATTTTTATTTTTTAACATTTTATTTTTTTATTCATGTATTCATTTAAACAAAGTTCTATTTTGTTTTATTAATTTAAACAGGATTTTACTATTGACCAATTGTTAGGGCTGTATGATAAATTGTATTGTATTCATAATCGCAATTTGTAACTTTCTTGATTTATTAAGCATAATTGTCTGCAATATTGTCTGCTGTTTTTTTTTAACTGAAACTAGCTTTTTTTGTATTCTCTAGCTTTTATGTATTGTCATCATTTGTCATGTCATCAAGTATTGCAAGTTGCTTTGCTATGAAAAACATCTGCTTATAATATGCAATAAATGTGAATGTAATTGTAGGTTTGAGTCTGTGCAATTCTTCAGTTCACTCTGACTTTAATGGTTGTTTAATGTCATTCCTCTCTCACTATTTCAGATATCACAGGAGGAGTATCAAGTTCCCCGTTCCAATCTATCACTTCCTCCCCTTCCTCCCAAAAGACAGTCACTTTCCCCGTGTCCATCTCCCAAACCGCCCTCCAGATCCTTGAGCATAGGCACACAGGTCAGCCAGTCAAGATTCATCTGTCTGCCTGTCTATTTATCTGTGTTGTTTTTAAATCACGTTGTGGTTGGTAACTTAATTGTGAAATGAATAATGTTACTTTTGTTAAGTGCATAGTCCATAGTGGTTAGTAAGTAAATTTAGTGTAACTGTAATCATGAGAATCAGTTATCATTCCCTCTCCGCAGAAACTCAAACATGGTTCCTGGTCAGAAAACATGCTAAGACAAACTTCCTCAGATAGGTAAAAAATGTTCTGAGTAAGCATTATTTTTTACAACATAGTACACATGGGTAAGATTCTCCTTATGAGTATTTGGCAATAATGCATGAATACATTTGCATTAGAGCCTCTGCTAGGACACCTGTGTGATCTTGATGGTAACTGACGTCATGCATCCACTAAAAATAACCTTGACATTAAGTGGTTAAAATTCATTGCATAAATGGTTCAGAAAAGTTAGCTACCATGCTAGTTGCTTTCAGATGCCACTTTGTTTGATAGTTTTCATCTAATGCAGTTACATTTCTCACATTTTAAGAATGCCTTAAGTGTCCAAATACATTTTGGAGTTACTGTAGTTATAGTCAAATGTTTGATGCATTAATAAGTTATTAAATTAAAATAATAAGTTTGCAAAATAATGTCTGTTTCTGTTATCCTTTTACTGCGTCTTAATTGGATTCAGAAGTGAGGAACTTTTGGAAGACTTCCGTCCCTCCTCTTTGCCATATGTCAGAAACAGTGGGTATCATAATTAACTTTCATTCACCTCTCATATGCTTATCATAACTGTGATATTTCTTTCAATAATTATATTTAGAATACGTGTGACACGTTCTGTTGAACACTTGAGATAACCAAACAAGACCTTTTCTGCTGTTGTACTGACATCTGGTGGCAGGATTTGAAATGACACATCTGATGAAACATAAATTCCTGTCTGTGTAGGTGGGGTGTCCTGGGAAGGGCCTTCAGAAAATGTAAAAAGGAAGAGGAAAGAGAAAAGAAGGGGCAATGAAGAAGAAGAGCACGACAGAGGTGTGGCGGATTCAGCGTCTCCTTCAGGAAATCACATTCATGGGGAGATGGAAGGAAACACTTCATCCTGACAAGGAAAATCACCTCAGACTTCAGACTGTAAAGCATATTTGCAAGACAAAGCAATCTTTTGATATCTGCAACACTGGACAACCAAAATGATTCAAAGGACTCAATAGTCACCAGATTCAGAACATACATGCATGTAGGAATATTAGCTCCATTGACCGTTGCATTGACAGGAGAAAACAAGCATCTTACTGCTCACACCTTTTTAATACATTTTAAATTCTACCTCATGCCTACTAAATGTTTAGAGAACAAGCACTGTGTTTTGACAGACCACAATGAATAAAAAAATGTTTAAATAAAACAAACAGCTTTTTTCTTTTATATCACAAGATATAGGCCTAGGTGGTTTAACTTTTTCTAAATAAGGTGAAAGTGTGGAAATATTTTCAGTTCACACCAAAACTCCAAAGTTTCACACTACAGTACATAACAGCAACATAGTTTGCAAATTCAGTTTCATATTTAGTAAAAGAATGTAAACAAACATTTATTGATATTTATTCTTTTTACTGCCTAGAAAGTCTTTAACTTTCAGAGATCTATCCAATAAAGCAATGTTTTTCCAAGGCTGGCTGTAAATGAGAATTATAAATAATAAATGTATGAAGAAGTAATTTCCCCTTAAGAATTGAGTCATAGGATTGGTTCTTTAGCATACTCACTTTATATCATAGAGGTACATTCAAGTTTGTTATAAATATGGAGGTCACTGACTTTAGTTATTCTGTAATGTTGCTGTTTGAGCATAAAAAATCTGCAAATTTACAAGTTCAAAGTCCACTTCAAAAGGAGATATTTTATTTAACAGAAATCACTTTTCAAAAACTACAACGAACGACTCGTTTGGACTACAATGCATATTTTCCGGGATTTGTGATATCACAAAGATCGACGAATGGGACGAGACCTGGTTGAGCTGCACTAGAGAAGGCAACGAGTGTTATATCACTATGTCGGAGACGCGCTAGCTTTCCCAAGGCAGACGAACTTAGAGTGGTACTGGTTACAATCATCCGGGTTTAATTCGCGCTCAAATTGATTTGATTTTGATGCAATATTTACATTGAAGCTTGCAGGCGGCTATGCTAAGGGGTATGACATTTCCAGACCAGGCGCCGAGTGCTGCCAATCACAACACACACTGGCCCAGCTAACCAATCACAGCACATTTCGTATTTCAGAAGGCGGGCCTTCATTTGATACAGGAACTATTCGAGCCATTCATGCCAGACTGGGGAGAGAGGTGTTGTAATAATGTAAAATATGTGAAAAATAATGTGTTTTTCGAACAACCTAGTATGAGAGCCTGTTCTAGTACACCCCCAAAACAAAATCAAGACTTTGTAAAAGAGCATTATAGGACCCCTTTAAGTTTGAAAATTATGAAAATTCATATTTAAAAAAGAAGTAGGCTAAATATTAGCATTTTATTTTTAAGTTGACTATAGATTAATCGCATTTGTATTTAATACTCCCTTTTTATTTTAAAATATAATATAGTATTATCACACTTTGTTTTATTATAGCCTAACATATAACAAGTTTGGGGAGAGGACAAATATTCCAAAACTTTATGAAAATACAATATGAGAATTAACTGCACAATTACTAGAAATGTGTAGGCCTACCTTGGATATTATACAATTTGCATGCATCCATTTTTTTTTGGACGTTTCCAACTCTTACTTTGGACCAATTCTGTAGACTGGCCCATACACGTCTTCAAATTAGCTTTCAGAACGTCATTCCCTCCTCCCTCCTGCTGTTACTTTATATGAAATCGCAGGTGTTTACGTTTGTTATTTGGCGTGAAGAAACGGGGTCGTGTTCGTAAGGTTGGCAGTTTTTAAAAGCAATCTGTAAACAAAGCCTGATTATGACAGTGCTTTAATTTTGTAAATGTGTTTTGCGCACATAGGTTACTTTCGATTTCCTTGGATTTCGTGGAAATAGAAACCAACATAAACGGCAGCGCCATAGACAATGGGTGAATGGATTTATTTGTCTATCTTCGTCAGCTTTTAAATATTTATGTATGCGATGTTATTTTCTTACGTTTCACTTATAAGACCGTCTAGTTGACAAGTGCACAGTTCCTATCAAAATTCAGTAAAGTTGCGCTCATTTCAAGATAATTAACTTGGGCCGTTTACAAATGAACGCGTTTTGTGCTTAAACGTCTTATAACTTGACACGACGTCTTAAAAAGTGTTCAAATGTGGAATGATGGAATAATGTTCTTTAAAAATGTTACAGCATAAAGTATTGACAGAATGTTATATTTTTCTATAGATTGTACATGCCAGCAAAAATACAAGAGGATCATTTCAACAAAATCAAGGATGTGTTTGCCTCTGAAAGCCCTGAAGAAATTCCCCACCGGCTTATGTCTCTTTTGAAGGTGTTTGACCATTTTAAGATAGATATCGCTGTGACTGGAGAGTCTGGTGCAGGAAAATCTTCTCTTATCAATGCAATCCTCGGATTGAATCCTGATGACACAGGGGCTGCTCCAACTGGAGCTGTGGAAACCACACAGCAAGCAACCATGTATCAGCATCCAAATCTCCCACACATCAGACTGTGGGATCTTCCAGGGATGGGCACCCCTTCCTTTGCATCCAAGAGTTATGTAAAGACAATGAACTTTGACCTATATGACATGTTCATGGTTGTGATATCAGAGAGAGTCAGAGAAAACAACATGCTGTTGATTGATGAAATTGAGCAACGAAAGAAGCCATTTTATTTCATTAGAACAAAAATTGATAATGATGTGCGTAGAAAGAAAAGCAAATTCTCTCAAATACGTGCATTGGATCAAATGAGACAAGACTGTGAGAAATATCTGAAGGAGAAGAAACTGGACCCCCATGTGTTCCTAGTGTCATCCCATGACACAGAAAAGTATGAGATGCAGAAGCTCATGGACACTTTTAAGGATGAGGTTTCTCAACTTAAAGCAGAGGTGTTTTCAGATTTTCTGGACAAGATGTTACATGGAGGATGGATAAAGGCAAGGTGAGTAGATATACTGTAATTACATGGTTGTAAATGGTACTGTGACTATGTTGGTTTCATACGGTGCTTAAAAACTTTTATATCATTTTTAGGAAAACATTAAATGATGTGAAAGTTTGAAGTAGGATAGTATAGTATTTTTCTGTAAAATGTAGTCCTATAATATTTAAAAAAAAAAGTAAATATTTTGATATTTTATTGACTTACTGACCTTGACATATTGTCACAAGGGTCTGCTGGGGTCCTCCCTATAATATAATTTCCTGTTCTGTTTCAGCATGGTTGGACCATATCATTTTGATTTGGCAGATAAAAGTTTTTCAAATACTTTTAGACATTTTATCACCCTAACATTTTCAAAATGATGAACCCCAAAAACCCCAAATCAAAAATCACAATTAATTTTAATTCAGAAATGTACTTCTGAATAAAATAGTAATAATAAAGAGGGCAAACAATGAACATTTCAAATATCATTCATCCTAACATTAATGCAATTTTATTTTTGTATTACTTTAGGTATGCTACGAATCACATCCAACAGACTGGGAAACTTGAAACAGAGGACATCACAGCATTGCAGGATATGTATAAGCGCACAGGCTTTGGAGCTGTGAAAGTCAGTGCTGTTCTGGAGGCTTTGAGTCACTTTCAGCTAGATGTGGCCGTTTTGGGTGAGACAGGCTCTGGAGCGTCCACTTTGGTAAATGCCTTAATTGGGCTGAAGAATGAAGAGTGTGGTGCGGCTTCAGCGTCCATCAGCAACCCAGCAATGAGTCTGAGATACCCAGATGTCCGGTTCTGGGACATATCCGGCATAGAGGCAGTCATGGATTACTCGATGTATGAGATGAAACAACACCTGAATTGTTATGACTTCTATATCATCATTGTATCAGACTGGCAGAAAGCACGGCATTTAAAACTAGCCAAAGCGGTTGAAAAATTAAGGAAGCATTACCTCTTGGTCCAGACCAAAATTGACTGTCATCTACAGACTCAAAGTGACTTGTGCTGTGATGAGACTGAGATACTTGATGGGCTTCGGGCACAATATACCCAGGAGATTCAGACGGCAAAACTGTCTGAACAGCAGATGTTTCTCATCAACAGTCTTGACAGATGTGCATTTGACTTTGTAGGTTTGGAAAGTGCACTCTCCAGTGACCTCAACACTGTCAGGACAAGTGCTTTTGCATATTATATAGCAAGAACAGTAAAGAAACATATATATAAAAAAACATAGAAATGTAAATTATGATGCAGCATTAAACTGTTTTAAAATGACTTGATTTCTGTTTAATTTACCATGAATTATTCAAGCTTATTATAGTATAACTGCTGTTTTCAACTGGTGTGCAATATAATATATTAATAGAATTAACAAATAATCTTTAATTGTTTAATATGCTGTATAATTCTGTATTTTTCTTTCTGTGACAGATCTCTTTGAAATATATGAAGAAAATGCTAGAGAGGCACCACGTTTTGCTAAGATTGCTTTGTCCTAATTATTGCAAAAGAATAGAAGATACACAGTTGGGAAACAGACAATTATTTGTAGAATTTGGTCTGCAGTAAAAATATGTGAACTGTTGATCTCAATATACTGTTGTAATATATGTTTGTATTAATTGTAATAACTGCAGTTTTCTAAGTTAGGACTATTTCTTGTTTATTAAAATGTTTATGAAAAATACACCATGCTTCCACTCTTGTTGTGCAAACCATAAAAATTTGTAATGGACTGTAGGTAAGTTGCTCTATAACATAATATTTAGATTTTTTAGTGGACCTGAAAATCAGAGAAATAATTTCAGTGAAACTATGTTAATTTGTTAGTAGTATGTTTCATTGCTCCCAGGTGTGTCTCGTCATCCCCTCCTCCCGTGTGTATAAATAGTGTTCCCTGTGTGTGTTCCAGCGTCCGGTATTGTTTGTGTCTACAGTGCTACGTGTGAGTCCCCGTGAAGATGAATAAATTCCTTGGTTTCTGTACTCTTGGTCTCCTCGTTCCTTGCTCCGTGTTCCCGCACCATAGCAGATCGTGACAGAATACCGGACCAAAAAGTAAGCGGCACCCCCTCTCCTCGTTTTGATTTCCGTTTTTTTTTAGTTTTTTGCTTTGTTGTTTTTCCCGTGCGTTCCTCCACATCCCCAAATGGAGGAACGATTAATGTTTATCGCGTTGGCTCAGGCGAGCCCAGACCCCATCGTCTTCGCGAGGGCGTTTGTGCCGCTCGCCCTCGCCAGCTCCCTCGCGACGCTGTTC